TTTCGCCAACATGAAAGAAATAAAACTTACAACGACGTACACAACGCATTTAAAACATTGTTCATTTGCATTGAATTTGAGCACGCGCTGCGCGGCGACCATCGCCCTTTAAACAAGCACCATGGATATACAAGAATTTGCGACCTGATAGACTACTGGCCTTTGTCTTTTAAAGATACAATATGGGCGAAAAATTTTAATGTTGAATATTGTTCTTATTGTAACTGTTTATTAATGTCTACATTAGACTATTAGTTATCATAACATGAAAACACTGTTTTTATAACACCCATCTGAATATTCATTCGACAATTAAATTCTCTAGTACGCATGTGCACTGATTGTATAGTGCATTTGTGTGTATGTCTGTGTGCGTCTGGTTCTTGAGATATCAGTGCAAAAGGCACACACAATCATTTGATTTTAATGAAACTTGGTATTTAGATGCTCTAGGATAATGCTCATATTTGATTGAGTTTTGAATGAAATCTGTGCATATTAATTACCTAATTTGCATATTTAAAATATAATTAACTTTTCTGCCAATAGCAGATTTAATGAAACTTGGTACATAGATGCTTAGGGATAAGCCATATACATGTTCAGTTTAGGGTAACATTTTGTGATTACTAATTCACTAATTTGCATATATTAGCCAATTTATAGGTGCTCCACAGATAACACGCATACCGCTCATCAATTTTTAATGAAACTAGGTACATATCTGTTTTTGGATAATCCACATATCTGATTAATTCAGGGTTGAAATCCATGCATACTAATTAATGTCTCCTACTTAATATGCATACCTGTAATGTAATAAGCACTGTTTCAAATAATGCAGGCATTTTACGATGTTATGTGTTAATCTATCAAATGACAATAGATAATTACGTGACCTCATTAATATACATAACTTTAATTAAGTACTGTTGCAGATAGGGACATGCAACTAGTGCTATAATTTTATTAAGTCATCATATATGGTCATTATTTCATTAACTATTTATAATTGTTAAACCATAGCTACTATAAGTATAAATGACCAAGACATGTCTATAGTCGAAATGAGGCATATTTCAATGATTTTGATTGCAATAAATACACTTTCTGCTTTATGTGAATGGTGGAGATGTGCTTCTAATATAGTGAATACGGTATTCTGTATTTGTACTTCATGCCTCCGATACCTTCAGCACATGGGAGTTCTAAAAATTTTTTGATTCATCTAAGTATAACATTTTTAGTTGACAATTAAGCCAAAATATTTATTCTTTGAGATCATTGTGGCACGAATGTCATTCTGGCATTAGTATAAACATGTAATGTCTGAATCCGACAATCTCATAGTCTTTGTACTTCACCAGTAACCAGTTCTTCCTATCATCAGTCAACATTTTCCCTGTCTCATATGCAAATTTAGATCGACCAATGGGTGAAAGATACAGCTGCTCGATACCCAACACTAGCGAAAGAGTTCGTTATTGGTAGCTCGTACGAAAACCGTGTAATGAGAGCATTGAAGGTAGGTTATTTAACTCGAGTAAAACATATTTTAGTTGTATGAAAACAAAACATTGCGTTTTAGAACGTCATGTGATCTAACATTTCGTTTTTTTCTAAATGCGTTATACAAATTATATCGAGTATGCCCAAAGTGGCGTATTTGAAGAAAAACAAACTAAAGAAAACGAAAACGAAAGAAAGGACGAATGACGCCTCTTGGTGACGCACAACTTTATATGTCCAGAATGCAAGTATAGATTGTGTGTATAGTTTTCTTTGGAAGGGTAATAATGCACGCTTTAAAAAACTAATAGAAGTAGATGTTAACAAACAACGCATATCTAGACCATTTTCTTTCCAAAAAACTTGGGACCAGAAAATGTCTGTTTTGGTCCTACAATAAACAACCGTCAATAATTCCCGAGATCAACTGTTGTGTGTCTGACACTAGACCCAGTTCAGTCTCACGTGGTTTGTGATAATGTACTATTATTTTTTTACTTAGGTTGGAAGTGAATCAAGTGAAGTGAAGCCAGCAATGTGGGTCCATAGTGGTATTCATGCCAGGGAGTGGGTAACCCCAGCAACTAATACATGGATGACAAATCAGGTTAATAACAAGAAACATCGTCACGTTATTTACGTAATATAAAATGCATATATTTACACTCGACTATATATATTATCAAGACTAGTGTAAACTAACATATCGTATAGGTTGGTCATACAAATCTTGAGATTACACTTCGTTTATTTTAGTTCCAAGACCAATAATACATCTGCATGATAATGACACGTAATATTATGTTATATATCCACCAGCTCCTTGTCGATTATTCAACAAACGATCTTGTGAGAACGCTACTGGACACTTTTGATTTTTACATTCTACCAATTACCAATCCCGATGGATATGAATACACGTGGACAGATGTGAGTGCGCCACCACGATGATAGACTTTCGTTTTTATTTATTATATTTTATAGATTTAATTGAAATCCATTTTCTTTTTGAAAGTGTTGTATGTATTTTCGCTTCAATGATATAAATTTGTTTTTTAGGATCGGATGTGGCGTAAGACTCGGTCTGTGAACGACGATTCGACGTGTATCGGCGTAGACCCTAATCGTAACTGGGCCTATGAATGGGGAGGTAGGTAGACATTTTCACATTGAACCATTTGCCATTAACTATGGTAAAACATTAGACGTATGCTAGTGTTAGTTTGACCAACCAGAGGACGATATTCGCCTATTTAACTTGTATCTCAATGTGACTGAAAATACAATGAAGTGTTGCAAATATATGTATACAGTGTCCAGTCTGTGATGGGGGCGCACTACGGCATTCCATACTTGCATTGCACGCCATTTTATTGGTTCCCATATACATCGACACACTGATCGATGTGACAGATCATTGAATTGAGTCACTGTGCATTTCGCAAAACTTATAACAAGTTACCTTATTCAATGAATACATAAGATTGAAGTCCCCAACTGCACCATGTACAGTGTCGTGTCAGTCAATTCAGAAGCCTTAAAGCGCGGTGGTCGTCGAGCAGCGCGTGTTCGATTTTCATGTAAACAATGTATTTTACACGCGTTGTATACGTCGCTGTGAGTCCCATATCGAACAGGACGCGACACGACGACTGCCGCCATTTAATTCTTTGAGTAAAATACTAATCTAAGGCGCACAAGAGTTCCTAACAATGGCGACCATTCATTATATTCAATTCGTTCTGTTAGAATGGTGGATGATAGTGCAGCTAGTCCAAATCAACAACTATGTACATGGAGAAAACACTGACCATCAGCGAAATGATCCTAGTTTTGTCAGTTGTGTATTGTTCATTCACAGGCAGTGGGGCCAGCAAGTTTCCTTGTTTCGATACATACCGTGGTCCTTACCCACACTCTGAAGTCGAAGTCAGAAACGTGGCGGATTTCATTTTAGAGAGAGCAAAAACACAAGAGTTTGTCTTCTTCATGGATATTCACTCGTATTCGCAGATGTGGTTGAATCCCTGGGGCTACACGGAAGAATACCCTGAGGACTACGATGATCATGTAAGCAATTCGACGCATGCGTACGAGGCGCGGGATGTCAATTTATTATTTTGTGTATACTAGAATAAAACGTACTAATAATTCAAAATTACGTACGTATTGGAGGCCGTGGCGTGTGTGTTTTAAAATGATGTGTGCATTTTAAAAACGGCGTGACTGTGCGTTTTAATGGTGTGTG